AGCCGATTAGTAGGATAGTATAGAAGAAAAATGATCTTCATTCGAATTGGCTAAACAATCACATATTTTTGTAAAATTGTAGTCAAATCTTTCGGTTGTTTGACCTCACAACTAGGTAGCTGATTAATAGGAAACGGGTGTTTATTAAAGATAATTTAGGTATTTTATGCATGTTTTGTCTTAGAATTTTATTCTCTCTAGTTTCCTTTTTTTCACCTTTCTTTTTGTTTGTAGAGAGCAAAAAAGAAGAAATATTACCAAATTTATATCATCTTTTTTTTATTTGATTTTTTTTTTGTCATCCAAAATTAATTAGAGCTCAAAAGAATCATTCTTGAGGAATGTTGTTTACATAAATGATATAAAGCGGTTTTGTACGAATTTTTCGTGCCAGATTATCCGCTTTAACATTAGTCCTACGAGAAATTAAAGATAAAGAAAAAGATGAAAAATCCTCCTTTTCGCTCTGAAATTCCTCCAAGTACACTGAAAACGCCGGCCATTCGGTTGGAGAAGACACCATCTTCACCAGGTCTGAAAAGTCTGTAAAGAACGCTACCTCTTGATTATCTGCACCAATCATACACTTCATCGCCCAGAGAAGGGCCTCGATTTCGGCATGTAGTGGAGATAGACTTCTACGGAGGTTCGCAGCTCCCATGGTTGGCGGTTCCCATTTGACGATGTACAGAACCACTCTGACCGGAGAACTTGTCACTTTCTTTCCATGATCCATCCACAAAATAACGGTATCCGGAATAATTCGAGTCAAGTGAAACATCCCTCACTCGAATCTGATTTACCAAATCCACAGAACCATGATTTTCATTATGGAGCTCAATTTGAGCTGATTGCCACAATTGGGCCTTTTCTTCCGCTAATCGTAATACCTCTATCGAGTCTGTATCTATGTTTTCAAAGATTTTTTCGTTCTTTGCTTTCCAAATATACCAAATAATCCATGGAAACGCTTATGAATCAAATTCCGAAGGTATTCTCCAAAATAAGTAATCCAAATTCGTAATCCAAATTCGTATTTGAATTTATGGTGGTGGAAAGTGAATGTAATTTTAAAGTAAAAATAAAGAATCGGGATCAGTTCAAATTCAAACGTTGGAGCAATAAATTCGAAGACCGTAACGGGCACATTTAAGAAAGAATAATTATATGTAATTAGGGATTAAATGTGTAATTTACGAGTATAAGGAAGAGGGCCAAGGGCCACACAATTTTCTAGAAAACATACTATAGCCATTTTCATACCAATTCATAGCTTTTACACATCAAATTTTGCCTTCAAGAATAATCCTTCTCACTAAATAAATAAATACTTGAGTATGTAAATCTGACATCCACAACGGAGACTCGTTAAAGAGTGTAAACGGCCGTTATCGGCTCTGTTAGTGACTGCTAACGGTGTGGCGTTTTGGCCTGGTCAACGAATACATTTAGTTAAAATGGCCGGTCAACGTTAAGTTCGTGTTTAAATTGGCCATATCAGAAGTTCACGTATTAAACGGCCATTTTTTTAAAGTTCGGCTATTAAACGAATTTTTCCTAAATTTATATCATCTTTTTTTTTTTATTTGAATTTATGGTGGTGGAAAGTGAATGTAATTTTAAAGTAAAAATAAAGAATCAACTAGGAAAAAGATTTTTTTTGTTTTGCCCGTTTGTCTTAAATATTTTAGATTTGTCATTTTTATATTTAAAACACACAATTTTACACATTATATTTAAGTTTTTTTTTTATGTACTATTTTTAGAGTTTATATTTTTTATTTATAAAACAAATTCCCAAATTTCTAGTTATTAAAGTGATAAAAATAGCAGATCTAAAATATTTGAAGAAAAACGGAAAATCTAAAGAATTGGGTGTAAAAATGGTAAAATCAACAATAATTCAAAAATAAAATATAAATTGCTTATGCATGTTATATTTGTTTTTAATAAAAAATGTCGCATTTAATGAAATGTAAAAAAAAAAATTATGCTATTTTGTTTCTAATAACATCATCATATATCATTATTTTATCAGAAAAAAAAACATCATGTATGATTATTTTTATAGAAAAAGAAACACCATGTATCATTACTCGTCAACAACGATACTTTCACTCGATATCTATTTCGTGGACGTGGTCCAACCATGATTGGACACACAGAAACAATAACGGTGAATGTTGATATATATCATCTTCAAGAAGCTGAATAATGAAGATTGCGATGATATAGTGTATGTATTTTATATATCCAATATGGTAACCTTCAAATCATAGTAGGCCCATAGGGCTCCCCGTGAAAGGTATCACCGTACCCACAAATATCAATCTCAACATAAAATGACAATATTTATGACATTTAATTACATCCTATGTCCTTATTGAATACTGGAAGTGGAACTAGTTTATTTTTAATTTTTCCTTTTCAACAATGTATTGTTTATTCTTTTCCTTTTCATAACCAAAAATTGTACCGTATATGCGATGACACCAAACGGTGAGAAAATATTAACCAAAAAAAAAAATATTATCCAACAACAAAATATCGTTATATTTTTTCCTGCAAACCATTAAACTAATCACTTCGCAAATTATTTTATGAGTTAGTGATATAAACTACTTGTAAAGTAATTAAGAGATATATTAACATTTGTTAAAACGTCGAAAAATTACCTAATAACGTTGGAAGCATTCAACCTCTAGAAATTCCAAAATTTAGGTAGTCGCACATTTGTAGGGTTAGGGTTTTCCTTAGCACACTATTAACACTTCAGTACATCACCAGTGTTCAAAAAAGTGGTGGGCGCTAAACGGACGTTGATCCAGTGCCTAATGCTTAAAACGCTTAATCGGAGCCTAGACGATTTTTAAGTGGTTTAGACGTTTATAACATAAAAAATTATAAATATAATATTATATATAACATATCTATATAAAGCTAAACATTATGAAATTATAAACAAAAACTAGATAAAATATTTATTTATATTTATATTAAACAATATATGAATATTTATAACTATATATATATATATATATAAAAAACTTTAATTGAAATTGAAAAATACATTAAACAAGATCTATGTAATTTTAGGCGGTCAAGGCGGTTATCTAGGCGTCGCATGAGAACCTAACGCCTAGTCGAGGTCTAGGCGACCGCCTAAACCGCTTTTTAGAACACCGTATATAACTATTAACACATCCACATGTTTACACAAAAACCCGTAGATACATACGTAAGTATACATAAATATATTCCCTGCGTGTTAAAATATAAGGCGTTTTATCTAAAAGTACGTCGATTAAGAAAATCTATTTTTTAAAAGTTCAGTCAATCATAAAAAATATTGTATAATAGAACTAATCATAAATTATTAAAATAATATATAATTTGTAGAGAAAATTGAAAACGACTTATCTCGTGAAATAAAAAAGTTTTTTCAAAACGTTTTATATTTTGAAACGGGAAGAGTATGAATGTTGGAGAAATGTGTATCGATAGGATAATAATAAAAATAGAGGGAAGAGAGAATAAAGGAGAAAAGGTGAGGTCGTGAGACGTCATTGAAGAGGGAGACAAACTACAATCTCTCACTCTCTCTCCCTTGCTTTAAGTCACCTCTGTCTACTATTGAAAGATTTGTTATTTTGTTTGCCATGTTATAATAAGCATACTTATATTCCAATATTTTTAGTAATTAATAATTAAGCCATGTTTTCTTTCTTGTAGATTTTTCTATATCTATAAAATATTCTTATATTCCAATATTCTTAACAATCAGATTTGAAACATATTTTTTGTCAATTTTTAAACATATGAAATTTAAAGGCAAAATAGAATATGTAAAATCGCCATGGATATTTTGAAATTGCGATATGAATTATTTTGCAGAATGTCTTGCATTATAATTTTTTAATGATATTTCAAGTTTATATACAAAAAGAATTATCACGCATTTAGAAAGAAAAAAATTGTATGACATAAATCACAAGCGGATGATAATGGGTTAATTTTATCCGAAAATTTGGTTTTGTTATGGTGAATACAGTATGAACAAAAAAAATGTATGTAGTGAAAAAATAGAAATGAGTAGAGAGTTTTGAATTCTCTCAAACCCAAGAAGGCAATAAACAAAAAGAATCAAAACTAGTCATCGACCAAAAAGAATTGACTTATTATTAAGTCTTGTAACATCTGATCTAACTCTTACGGTTTGACTGGTATTCAAAAGCAAATTTGGTAAATTAAAAGTTGAATACTAGTTAATCGTATATAGTGCACAAGCCACAACTTCAAGTTAGGATATGATAGAAACGACATAAGACAAGAGATTGATTGGTAACTACAAACGTCAAATAGATATTCTCCTTGTTCCCCTCTTATACCAAACATTCAAACAATAAGAGCATCTTCAATGGGGAGCTCTCATCATGAGACTCTCTCAAGTTGTTTAATATAAATTTTGAAAAATGTTAGATGAGAACTTTTGTTTTTTTGTTTAATTTTTCATAGTCCAATGGTAGGCTCTCTAATGGAGGTTCTTTGGAAAAAAAACAAAATTTGGTTTAAATGTATTTAATTTTGTGTATTGAGACAAAGTAATTGGTGTAATAGGTGTTTAGTGTATTGACAAAACAAAGAATTAAATTAAATACTTGTTAAATGCAAAATAGAGATTCATGTGTTATCACATATGTTGATTTGAGCAAAAAATTGTCATATATTTGAGCAAGAAATACATCAAATACTTGTCATATTTGGATTTTGATTTGAGCTTGATGTTTTACATCACGTTCATTACATAATAGTAGCAAGTAATGAGTAATGAGTGATGTAGCCATTTGTAGTTTAAGTTAGGTTTTGCTTTGAGTTTAATAACCAAAAGCTGCAGAATCATTATATGGTAAAAACATGCCTCCAAAATGTCTAATATGCAATGAGATAAGCACAGAAGATGTCGACGCAAGAAACCTAAAGCGACTTGGCAAAGGTGCAACTGTGTAAAACTCAAGAACTGGAATTAGAAAGTTTGGGCAGAGATCAACAAAACTGAATGAATTTACTCAGGTTTTTACATATTTCAACTCAGGTTCTCCTTAACGAGTGTTAAGAATGGGTACAAGCATAATCCAAGAACCATGATCACACCGCTGATCAGAAATGTCTTCGGGGCGGCCAAAACCATCACCAGAATGGTTGAGTACGGATATGAGCTGCTGGTTTCATCCGATCAAGCCAACGAAGAATCCAGTTTCCAAGATTCCTACCAACTTCTATGTCTTTAGTTTCAGTTTGAGCTTATCATACTCTTCATCACTCAAGATTGGATTCCATAGACATAAGCCATTGAAGCAACAAAGATCATCACTTTGACTCTCACTTTGATTCCAGAAACATAAGCCATTGAAGCAATGGATGATGAGATGATGAGAATTGGTGGCAATGAGGTGAGAGAGATTAGTGGAACTAACATAAGATTAAGAGCCAACGATGTTTATGAAAGATACAATTTAGTATTCCCATTGACAATCAAAAATCTAATCATCTCAATGCCAAAGTCCCATAATTAATAGATTTGTATGTTTCTCATCATACACTACCAAACATAATTTGGTCAAACGTTTGAATCAATAACAAGAACATCAAATCCACAACTCTAAACACTTCGAATTGACAAAATTAAAAGGCGAAAAAATCTGAATTAAGCTCGATTGATAACGAAACATGGAAATGGAGAGTGAGTGAGTCTTACCTTGTAAGCAGTCGCAATTCTCAGCTTCCTTTCTAACAACGTTTAGCACGAAATCGATCAATTTAGCTCCCTCAGACGAAATCGGAATAATCGTGTGAGGAGAAGAGCCATGGCTATCGGGAATTAAAGAGACGGTTGGTGAATCAGGATAAGAGCCATCGCGAAGAGCAATAAACGGATTCAAGGAAATCTCAGGTGAATCGCATCCGGCAAGAGATGATAAAGAGAAAGAGAGTCGAGAAAGAACTTTACGATGAAGAGAGAAACAGAACGCGTTTTTTTTTGTTAAAAATCATCAGGGATTGACACGTATGCGTCTCTCTCTGGTTCTCAAAACTCTGTCCACAGAGCCGGTTCTTTAGATAATTGTGTGTTTTCATTTATTTTTATTACCATTAAAGCAGAGAACCCTATATTTAAGAGAAGAAAACCCCCCTTTGGAGATGCTCTAATGGCTTACATTTGGACCACCCGTCCCCAACCTTACCTTTCTTTCATCCCTTATATGATTTTCACTAATTCTATAGCTTCTCTCAATCTGATTGGTGGTACTTGGTATCTATCGACAAGACTAAAACAAAGAATTAATGTAAAAAAAGAATTTATGTAAGCAAAAAAAAAAAAAAACAAGAAAATTGAGTCTATTCTTCATAGCTTATATTCGTTGTAGTTGTATATCGAACACAATTTTTCGTTTCTTTCTCCAAATTATTTTGAGTTATGCACTTTCATAATATTCACAATTTAATTTGATTAGTAATTAAAGAATGCAAGAATATAATTCAGTATATTCAGTATATTAATTTGATTACAACTAAAAATTTGTGACATTGAACAGCAGAAAGTTAGAGAATAATAGCACAAATTCAGTATATTTGGGTTGATTGCAACTCTATAACCTAAATGTGTTGTATCGAATCCGAAAGTAGTAGGAACCTCTTTGGTCACCCAGTGACATTGGTTTTTCAAGTGATTTTTTTTTTTTTTGGTAAAATATTAAGTTCAATGGTTTTTAAAGTTCTTACTAATAGGAATCAAAAATAAAGATGATTCAATATCAAGTTCAAGAAGATGGTTGCTAGAGTCCCACATGTCGACAATAATTGGCGAGTCATCTCCATCAATAACAACTAAACTTGTCCTAACCTAGCTTCTTGACTGTGTTCTTGAACCCAAAACAATTTTATCGGCCTGGTACCTTGGGCTTATGCCTTCAGCTTTAGGCCCAAATATTTATTCTTTGGTTAATCTCTGTTTTTTTTTTGGTTTGGTCACGAAATTTTGGTTGATCTCAAGATCATATTTTTAATTTTAATTTTGGTTAATCTCTGTTTTTTTTAATGTTTCAAAAGTTTAGTATATAATAAAACACCTTCAATCATTGATTAATATAAGAACAATTGTTTGAAGAAGCAACATATTTAATAATTGCCTTCCCTAACGGACAAACAATCTTATTTCTGAACGAAAACAAACCAACCAATGAAAAATTAATAAAAAATCGATGTAACCACAATATGAAAATAATATAAAATCATAACATCGACAAATACGTGCGATTCTCTATAATACATAACGTAAGTCAAATCCATACGTTACTATTGAGTGGTTCCCACTAATTATTCTCCTAATTTTTGTCATTTACTCCATTTTAATAACATAATGTATTATTACAAAAATGAAACATTTAATATTTATATCCAAATTTGTGATCTTCTCAGACAACTCAAGAAAAAAAAAACAAGAGTTCTTGCTTAAACATTTATTGATTGGAGCCATTAAAGCTTTTATATCTCTCGTGAATTTTGAGCCAAAACGGTTATATATTTCTTGTTTTTCTTTTTTTTTTTAACGGGTCCGAGTCACGATGAGTCAACTCGGAGATTTGCTTAGAGAATCAGAAGATGGAACAAGAAGTGAGAGGACGATGATGTTGAGTTTGCTTGAAGAAGATCAAATCAACGGTGGAGATCGAACGATGAGTAAATGGACTACGTTGAAGCAACGGCTGAGATTTGACTGGGTTGGTTGTTGTGGTAAGCCTCTTACTCTGCGTCTCAGACAATCGGAAACACCAATCGTTGTCGATGATGATGATGAAGAAGAAAGTCAAAACCGGGTCATTGACCTTACGGGTTCGGGTACGGGTATGGAGTTGGATTGTTTGACACGTGGCGTGACGAGGAACCTTGCGGAAGCTTTAGCGGAGGAGAGATTAGCGCACGTTACTGCGGAGGAGACTTCAGTTGCTAAAGTACCGTTGATGAGGTTGCTTGCGGAATCGGACGGTTGTGATTCGACGACGTGTTTGGGTAGTGATACGTTGTGTTGCGTTTGTACGGGAAGAGAGAAAGGTGCGGCTTTTATTCCCTGTGGACATATGTATTGTAGAGTTTGTTCAAGAGAGATTTGGATGAATCGTGGGACGTGTCCTCTTTGTAACCGTTCGATCTTTGACGTTCTTGATCTTTACTGAGCAAAATTCATGGATTGATCTGATCGACGATGATATATGTTCAGTTTCTTTGTGCATATTTATATTGTTAGTTACATGATCACTAATTGTTGTATTAAAAATAAATAAATGGTGACTAATCAAAGGGTATCACTAATTAACGTTGTAAACAATATAAAAATTTATAGATCTTTTTTAAAAAACAGTGTGTTTAATATATATATGATAATCAGTATGCCTTTTATTTAAGTTTATCACAGTGAGTTTAGTAAATTTTCACTTATTCACTTCAAAAACAATAATTGAAGTCATTATATATTTTCAATCGTTATTAATAAGAGTTTTTTAAAATCAATAGTAAACATAGTTTAGACGACATATATATAATCTCTGTTGTGTTTTTCGTCAAACTCAATAATCAATTCGACGTAGTCACGTAGAATATTTCATCAAATTTGGACCCAAAATTTGTATATTGTCTTAAGTTGATAGTGATTTATATAGACCATTTGCCTTTTTTTTTTCTTTCTTAAATTAACAAGTTGTAGAGATGCTATTGCTAAGTATAAAGATTGGTGGAGGCCTGTTTCACATCATCAGTTATTGGGCCTGATCGGATACATGGTCCACTAGTGTCGAGGTTGTTTCATATATTCACGCAATGATCTACAATGTAACATGATAATCACTTGAGAAATCTTACAAATTGACTATCAAACTAAGACACGACGAATTACAACTACGATTTAATCGTGTGGATGAAGTCAAACAAAATTATGAAATGGAAAATTCAAAAAGTTGTCAAATTTTGTGATGTTATCTCCGAGGCATACATGAGTTTGTGATGTTAACGTTACATGAAATTACACGCATATATAAGTAAGTAGGAATCTAGGCTGTGAGAGATAATGAATAGATTTATGTGTTATTTAGTGGGTTGGTAAGCTTAAATCACATCATGAAGCATTATCAATTATCTGGTCAAGTTTCAACAATATTCTAAAGTTCATGCATAAAATCATAAGACATTATATACTGATGGAAATTTTAAGTATTGTCAATAACAGAATATAAACTAACTGATATATCTCTATCATTATGTATAGAACAAAACATTCCATTTTGAATTTATTCCCTTCTTGAAAGAAAAAAACTAAGAATATGTATATAACCCTAAAGAGCTTATTCTCCGTGTCAATTTATCTCAATTTATAAAAGAAAGTGTTTTAATTTAAGAGAAAATATGCCTTTGAGACCATAACTTTTGGTGGTAACGAAATCGAATTCTAGAATTAGGGTCAAATTCAGACATTTTTATGTGCCATCATGATGGAGAGCTACTGGTATTCTGTACCTTACGTAATCTATTTGGATTCAAATTCAATAAGTGGTACAAATAAATTGACAAATCGTATGATCAAGTACAGCCATCAACATTGTTGACGGTTCTGTTTGGTTCGTTATTTTTCTATTTCGAGTGTTATTTTTTGAAGGTCTTATATAAGTTTTCACTAGTTTTTAACATTATACGTGAAAGTAAGTGTAAACAATCTCACCTCCTATATATTAAAAACAGAAGTTATGAGAGAACATGCCATATGTGGTGATCATATTTAAAGAGTTTTAAGAAGATGTTTTGATAATGTTTCGAGAGTGTTTTTATAGGTAATTTTGCTGCTATTTTAGCGATATCCCCTTGTTTGTTTATTATATACAAAAAACTAGTTCTATTGGTATTTTTTCCCACAACATATACATCTACTATACATTTTTGCAACACTTTTTGGGGTTCCTAATCGGGTCAAATTTTGTTTAATTTTGACCCGGAAATCTTCAATCGGATCTTTCCTTATTTTTGACAAAATTAAAAAACGAAAATTAATCAATAAAATCTAAAAAATATATATATTATCTCAACTAATTACTATACCTAAACTCTTAATTTATGGCATATTCTCTACAATTTTTATAGATATAGAAATCAAATATGATTATTTAATGCTAATATAAAAAATTTGAACTAATTTCCTAAAACCTCTCTACCTAATTAAAACATAAATATATGATTCTCATTTCACTTTTATATGATCTTATATTTATATTATTTTGAACTATTATAAAATATATATACTTAATAAAAAAATTCGATTTTTTTCTGCATATGCTATGATTCAAATTTTTTAAAACGGACATATATTACTCAATCGATGAAGAAAAAAGTATGTGTACAATCTATATTAACATTTTTGAAAAACAAATTTGCGCGTTTAATCAGGTCGTATTTTTTTTTTTACTCTGACTCGGAATTGAGTCATTCAGATATTTTCTTAATTTCTACAATTATCTAAAACGGGACAATATACCACGGTGAAATCTTAAAATTAACCAATCGAAATACAATTATTTAGTATTTTAATATACATTTTTAAAATATTTTACGGGTTGGTCTAAAAACACACACTAATTTGAAATATATATATATATATATATATATATTATAAAAACTATTTGAAAGCAAACTTTTAAACTGACTCGAATTATATGTCTTTTAAATAAAAGTGTTATTAAAAGAAATAACAAAATGATGTTTAATTTTACGGGACATGATTATATGGTGGGACGGGTCGGATTTGGATTGATATTAATACGGGATAATATATCACGGGTGAAATCCTGGGATTAACAAATCAAAATACAATTATACAATTTTAAACACTAAACAAAACAAATACAACTTAAAATTTTCATTTTTAGTTACAACGCATGTGACTCGCAATGTACAACAAAAAATATTATATGCAACAAATTCATCAGTTTATAAAAAGACAAAAAAAAATCAAATAATTAACCCGCAGTGTACCGCGGGTAACAATCTAGTCTACTATACATTTTTGCAGCAGTTTTTGGGGTACCCAAATCGGGTCAAATTTGTTTAATTTTGACCCGGAAATCTTCAATCGGATCTTTCCTTAAATTTTGGCAAAATTAAAAAACAAAAATAATTAATAAAATCTAAAATATATATACTTTCTCAACTAATTACTATATTTAAACGCTTTATTTATGGTATATTCTCCACGATTTTTATAGATAAAGAAATCAAATATGATGATTTAATGCTAATATAACAAATTTGCACTAATTTCCTAAAACCTCTCTACCTAATTTAAACATAAATATATGATTTTTATTTCACTTTTATTTGATCTTATATTTATATTATTTTAAATTATTATAAAATATATAAATAGTTAGTAAATTTTAGTTTTTTTTTTTCTGCATATGTTACAATTCAAATTTTTTAAAACGGACATATATTACTCAATCGATGAATAAAAATATGTGTGTAATCTATATTAACATTTTAAGAACAAATTGAGCATTTAATCATGTCGTTATTTTATTCAGACCCGAAATTGAGTCATTCGGATCTTTCTTTAATTTTTACAATTATCTAAAATGGGACAGTATATCACGGGTGAAATCCTAATTAGTATTTTAAGATACAATTATAAATTGTTTTTACGGGTTGGTCCAAAAACACACACTAATTTAAAAATATACATGGAAACTATTTGAAAGCAACTTTCAAATTAACTCGAATTATATGACATTTAAATAAAAGTGTTATTAAAAAAATAACAAAATGATGTTTAATTTCATTTTAGATTATATGGTTGGACGGGTTTGGGTCAATATTAATACGAGACAATATACCACAGGTGAAATCCTATAAATAACAAATCAAAATACAATTATACAATCTTAAACACTAAACAAAACAAATACAACTTAAAATTTTTTATTTTAGATACAACGCATGTTACCCGCGGTATACAACAAAAAATATTATACACAATAAATTCATCAATTTATAAAAATAAAAAAATCAAATAATTAACCCGCGGTGTACCGCGGGTCATATCCTAGTCTTTTAGTATTTTGAACAATTTTGAAACTGTGAAACACAAACAGAAAAAAAAAAAAAAAAAAAACCAAAATCGTTTAGCATCCACAAATATATTATATTGAAAACTTGAAATGTTTTCTTCTTTCACAATATGATTTTTTAAGAAAATCGTTGTTTTTTTTGCGCACGAGAAAAAAATGACTTTTAATAACTACGATCTCATATACTTTAGTAACAATAAAAGATTACAGTCTTATATATATGGATGTAATAAATCTATAGAGTATTTTAGTTTTGGCTTTCATACCATCCAACACATTTTCAGTATACAAATTTTATTTTATCTGACAGTCTGTTATTCCATAAAAATCGCTTAATTTGTCTATTTGTATCACTCACCAGATAAATTATTTCGTCTTGTGAATTTTATTAAAACTTACTTTTTATACTTCTATTAACTCAAACCAAATTCTTTTTATCAAAATAATGTAGTAAGTCTATATATATGTCAAAAGTGAGTGCTCTATTATTTGTGGCTACTGAGAGAAGATGTGTCATGGATGTGTGACCCAGGTTAGATATATATATATATATATATATATATATATATATATGTAATGAATAGATGAGAACAAGGCATGTGCATCAAGTTCCAAAATAAAGTTGAGACAATGTCGTCCATGTTCATGAACCCATCTCTCATTTATGGTTAACCATTTGGCACAAACCTTAAATATATATGTCCCCTCTCATGGACCAAACACATTTAACGAAACACACCTTTCCTCAAATGGCAATCTTCCTATCCCCATTCCACCATTTAGTTTATTAATCCCTACATTCTCATGATTATAGATTCATCATGGCGACCAAGTAAAGTGGTTTGACTTAAATAAAGTTCTGTTAACACGTTCATATGTTCCGATTATTTAAACGATATAACGTAAAAGATGAAATTTTACATGTTTTGTTTATAAATAATAATAAAACTAGAGCACAAAGATACATGTCCAAACTAAATTTCACAACTAAACACTCTATGATCGTTTTCACACTAATATCTTTGATTATCATGTTGTCAAAAAGAGGATCTAGGAAATAAAAAAAAAGAAGGTATGATTATGGATTAATGCGCTACACCAACTTGATAGTAAAATGTATTAGTAGTGTGATAACGATCATAGGATGAGATTATAGGGATGAATGTTTAGTTGTAAAATTTTAATTTTCGACCATGCTGTAA